CACCATTGAAACGCAATAGAATGTCATAGAAGAGCGAGAGAAACGGTAGTGACCATTAGTAGGTAAATACAGGCGTACCTTTGATTTCGTTTTGAGAAGGTGGGTTGAACGTATTCCTAGATTGGCCTGACTGGATATCGCAAGAAGGTTGGCTTGGACTTTTGTCTGTTGAATTGTGAAAATAATACCTCGGGTCATCGTCTTGCGACACGATGACTCCGTGCTGAGCTTTCGTCCGTCTTCAGAGCCAAAAACCATTACTCATCAAAAAATCACAAAAAAACACTAAACCCGTAACGGTGCCAGTGATGTGGTGAAATCACTGGAACAGGCAGATAAGGGAAGGATCCTACTATGCAAGAGGAGACTCTAATAGGAACTGAAGAGGGAGGATTTCGTAGTAAAAACCAGCTTTAGATCAACAATCACTGCATAGTGGGAGGGATAAGGAAGCCAGCGGGCAATGTGGATAGATTTCAAACAACTTTAGATAAATAAGTAAGAAATTGTAATATTCAAGGGGCGATATGAGGATATAGGATAAGTGATTAGCTCATGAAAGAAGGAGAGATACCACAAATGTTTACCACACATTTAGTCAAAGAATCGACTTCACTTGTCCCTTTGACGAGTGGTAGTGTGGTACTAAGATATGCAAGGCTTACTGACGATGCCGACTACGATGCGCGCGAAACGACTGCGAATGTACCAAGTCAACTTTCCGACTCTGGAAACTATCATGCATATTATGGACTCCGAAATAGGTGAGTTCTTCTAGGTGTTCCTGCCAATATGACCAAGTTGCAAAACAAGGTCAAACAACTTCTATACAACGAAAGGGAAACGCGACCATATAAAGGCCACACCATCATGGCTTTCATATATTTGATTAAAACTAATAAATATGAGGATTATTCTATTAGAATATGGGTGATAAGGAAGCAAATTAATTCACTAAACTAGTGAAGAAGAATCGTAGGATTACTAGGCTGTGAAGGTAATTTATAAAAGAGTAAATTAAGTTTTTTCCATAAATCATCTTGATGACAAAAGAAAACAAATGGTACTACACCTGGTCATACCTTCCTAATTAATAATTACAAAAAGCATTAATTTCAGCGTATTTTTCGCATCCAAGAGTTTGGAATAAGCTCACCTTGATACTAAAGGAGTTAGTATAAGCTTCAGGGGCAAAAACATTGATCTATAGACTAAGCAAAATCCAAGCTTCATCAGTGTATGAGAAAGATATTGAATTAAGGATAACCAAGGAGCTCCCAACATAAAGATTAATAAGTAGTTTTCGAAACAATGGAAGAACAAAAGTGTCATGGCAACAATATTGTCTATGATAATCGCGACTAACTTATGATCTAGATCCCCTGAAAATTAAACCCAGTTTTATAGCGAAAACAAGGTTGGTTATGAATATGAAAGTAAATTTCACTGATAGGAAAGAAGCGTCTGAATACCATCATTCCATAGCCTATAAGGCTCCAGATTAATGGTACCAGACCAGATGAAGATGTTTGTCAAACCTAGAATAAAGAAAAATGGCAGACAACGATTGGGCGGATGAAAGGAAGATTAGAACCAAACAGCGAAAGCAAGCTTTCTCAATTTCTTACTTTTATAATTATTCTTAAAGATGTGTAGGTTAAATGACAAGACATTTAACATAATTACTAAAAATATTAACTTACTATACTCCAAAAATTATAATAAAGTAAAATCAAGCTTCTTGAATACTATTATATTAAAAAGATCCAGGCATTAAATGGGCCCCATAATGAAATAAGCCTGAGAGGAAACCAAAGAGTGTTTGTGGATAAATGCCATATTTGCATTGGAAAGGCAAACTAAATCTTCCCATTGGTATGCTACAAGTAAGGCCATCGGTCCCTGGAATATTAACGAAACCAAGTATCAAATATTTCCGATTTTTTAGAGATCAAATTTAAATATTTCAACATATAAAGTAAGAATGCTTGTAATTTAATAATACATATTTCTTGGAGGTCCGCACAACTGGAATGTCCAAGCGCAACCCTGCATGACTTTGCTCAGCCAACGCTTACATCGAAATTTCCCGAAGTGCTAGATTAGAGCTTCTATAATAAGTGGTTACTTACTTTACGATATACAGCAGCGACTAGGACGGAGTTAATCTGCATTCCGAGAATAAACATAGTTTTGAAGTAGGCTTGAAGAATGATGGATTGCAAAGTGTTGGTAAAGAAAAGGGACACGGCAAAAAGATAGCCATGCCATTCGTTAACTGCGGAGTGACCCTTTTCTTCGTTAATAAAGGTAAGAAGTAATCTGATCGAAGAAGGGCAATAGAAAAAAAAATGTAAAACAAGTGAATGCATGAGTCTAGGAGCATAATTTTATTTTATTACTTAAAATTAGCAAGTATTTTTTAATAATTTCCAAAAGAACATTAATCTGGTCTTAGAAAACCTGAAATTTTCAGGTGTGAAAACGTGGTGGCCAATACTATTTTTTGTCCACTTAAAGCCTTGGTGGCTAATCTTAGGTCATGCTAGCGAATGCAGATAAATAAAATAATAATCCACTATTAAATGAGGGTAAAGTAAAATATTAGCATGAATTACAAAGATTCTCTAATTTACCGAAATTAGTCAGTAAAACAGAAAAAATAAACTAGGCTGCTCACTTGAGCAGTACTGGGCTGAAAAATAAAAGAATATCGTGCAGTAGCTTAAGGAAGAATCCGACGACTAGTTGGGGCCAATAGGTAACTAGCAACGCCTTAACGAGACCAAGATTTCCGAAGGTGCCAAAACTAGCTTGACTGCAGGCCAACTTCTTAGGCGGCAGATTGGTCTCAGATCCACCTGGTTGACGCGTCTCAAGTCCGAATCCTGCGCCAGGAGCGATAATAGGGTCGGGTGATTTGCCAGAGGTTGGATAGAGATCGGGGCTGGTGTCAGTTAATTTATGGCTGGTAGAGATTTGGCCAGCAGCTGGCCCTGAAGAAACCTGAGGATCAACCGCTGGCGACCGCAGGGCACCGAAGAGATAACCAACATGTGCTTTCCCTGAGTATGCAACAGTAGGCGTGCCAGAATTTCTGAAGGAAGGATTCAAGGTAGATGCCACAGAGATGATGCCGGTCTGTTTCTCAAGAGGGTAAGATGCATCTGCTATCTCTACAGACTGATTAAAATATCAGGGAGACAAATAAATGGAAAGAATTAGTGAGTGTTAGGTAGGATTAAAAATAAAATAAACAAAGGTTTAATAAATAATATAAAATACAAATAAAATATAAAATATAAAAAGGACACACAAAATAAAATAGATAAAGGCAAAATTAAACATTCAAAAAAGAAAGTAATAATAAATAAAGAAGAAGACATCATCAAGCTGATTTGAATGGGCCTATACAAGTTATCACCTATCAAAAGAATGCAAAAGGCTTCAAGAATGGTGCATTAGGTCTGCATACATGAAGCTTCAATAAGTTCAAACAAGACTAAAGATAGAGATATATAAACTAGTATAATTCGGTTAATAATAAGCATCCATGATCCATGAATGTTATGCTAAAATGAATTATTGTGAATAGTCAATCAACATGAAAGCTTGAGTCAGTGCCGCTGAATAAATAAAAAGAGGCCTTCACTAAAAATTCATTCTCTTAATCAGTTGGCTTGGAGTCTTGAATTTATTTCAGAACTCATGATGAATAGTTGAGTTGTTGCAATGGGTTTGCTTAATTTAGAGTCCCAAGTCACGTTGCAGGTTCTTCGTGCTCTTAAAAACTGGGCCAGACGAACCTGTCTAATAGTCGCATAGCCTTTTAAGTTTAAGAACTAAACAGTGCCCTCGAAAGTAGTCAGCTTTAA